AAGCGGTCTGACTTGTCTTTATGGCATACTAGGCAAGTTTTCACATACCGCGTAACATCATCGGCCATTTAAGGCCAATAATAAGCGTAGCGCAATAACACCATGGTGTGTTCTTTACTTGTGTGGCCAGCCTAGAAAGTATCATGGCATTCCATTAGAAGAGTCCTTCCCATATCGCCTCTTTTAGGAACATAAAGTCAGTTCCCTTTCACCTTCAGGAACCCATCTTCTACATAGAACTAGCGAGTCTTACCTTGTCCTACCAAATCGACCAAATATTGTGCAACATGATCCTTGGTGAGTAGATCCTGTATCTAGTCTTTTATAGTGGTGGCCACCTCGCTCCCCCTTAGGGTGGTGAGTAGGTACACCAATGCTAGATCGACCCTCGACTAAGCGCATCAGCAACCTGGTTGGTTTTCCCATATCGGTACTCTAGGTTGAAGTGAAAATCCGCTAGGAGTTCCTACCATATGGCCTATCGACCATTCAACTTTAGCTGGGTCATGAAATGGCAAACAGTTGAGTTGTCTATCTTGACCACGAACAGAGTTCCTTACAAATAGTGCCTCCAAAGGCGTATGCAATGGACAACAGCCAATAATTCCTTTTTGTGGACGGCATAGCGTCATTCTGCATCCTTCAACTTCGGGCTCTCATATGCAACTGGATGCCCCTCTTCTTTAAACGGCTTGTCCAAATCAGGGAGGGCCAAGACGGGGCTACTAGATATAGCCCCTTTCAATGCGCCGAAGGCCTCTGTTCGCCTAGGACCCCAATCCTAAGGCTTGTCTTTCCTTAGGAGTTCTGTCAATGGCACTGCAATGAGAGAGTAATTCTTCACAAATCATCGATAAAAACTGCATAGGCTAAGAAAGGACCTCAAGGCATGGATACCCTTAAGCGATGGCCAATCCGTGACAGTCTAAATCTTCTATTGGTCCATCTTGATCTGCCCTTCCTCGATGACATGTCCGAGTAAGTCAATTTGTTTTTGGGCGAAGGAGCACTTGGATAGCTTCACATATGATTCGTGATGCCATTCATGGCTTATTCTATGTTCAATTGTATTTATGTGACTTACAGGAATGGTTGGTTTGGTTTCTGGGATGTTTCGAAATGAATTGGGACACTTAATCCCAAGGTTGGAAGCTTAAGCTAAAGAGTTAATTGGATGTTGATCTATGTATAAATGACTCCGGAATGGAGTTTTGATGGTTCTGATAGCTCCATATGGTGATTGACTTAGGAGTGTGTTCGGATATTGATTTGGAAGTCAGTAGGTTGTTTTGGATTAAATTTGCAAAAGTTGGAAAGTTGAAGATTTGGAAGGTTGAGAAGTTTGACCGAGAGTTGACTTGATTGATCTCGGGATCGGATTGTGATTTCAGGAGTTGGAGTAGGTCTGTTGTCTCATTTACGACTTATGTGCAAAATTTGAGGTCAACCAGAGTTGGCTTGATAGGTTTCGGCATCGATTTTAGAAGTTGGAAATCCATTAGTTTTAATAGGCTTTGGATGGGGTCCCGGGGGCCTCAGGTGTGATTCAGATTGAAATCAGATTGAGAATTTAACTTAAGGAATATCTGTTATGTTTAGTTCTGATGCAACCGCACCTGCGAGGTTTTGGCCGTAGGTACAGAACCGCATAAGTGTCCACGGAGTCGCAAAAATGGTCCTAAGTTGAAATGAGTGGTTAAGTAGGTGCGAGGAAAATTCCGCACCTATGAGCTCGCAGGTGTGTGCATTTGGTCACAGAAGCGGATGTTGGAGCAGAAGTGGACCTTGGACTGCAGAAGCGGGATTTGGCCGCAAAAGCGGTTGGTCGAGAGCTTAATGAAATATCATTGGAGCGAGCTTTCTTCTGTAGTAGCAGATACACAAGTGCGGCTGGTGAGCCCGCAGAAGCAAGAATCATTGGTCAGACTAATATAATCGAGGGTTTGAGTCTTTTCTTCATTTTGGACTTATGAAGCTCTGCTAGGGGCTATATTTGAGAAGGATTTTACCATAATTCAAAAGGTAAGAGAACTTTTGATCACTTTTATCCATTAATATTGAATACCCATTGAGTTTCGATTTGTGGTTGGAGTTGGATGATTTTGGTATGGTTGTACTCGTTATTGAATGTGTATTCAAAATTTGTGAACGTTGTTGGGTTGGGAGGTGTGGGCTCGGGGTTGACTTTTTGAATTTGGTTAAAGAATTTAGCTATATCGTATGGAATCGACTCCTATGGATTGTATGGATTATATCAAATTATTTATGACTAGATTCGAGTCGTTCGAAGGCCGATTCGTGAGGCAAGGGTTTATCGGAGCACTGAGTTGCGCACTTTGAGGTAAGTAATACTTCTAAATTTGGAACTAATGGTATAAATCCTTGAAAGATGTGTCATGTGGGTTATGTTGTGGTGATGCACATACTAGGTGACGAGCGTGTGGGTGTGCACCGTGGTAATCATAATCTGGGTGGATTCTTGTATTGTGTTGATATCAAGTCTTGTTTTATCCGTATAATTCCTACATGTTAGAGTAATTGAGCTGTAATTCATGCTAGAAATCATGCTTAGGCTATGTGCTTATTCTGTTAGGACCCACTAAGATTATTTCTACTGTTTGAGTTATTTATTTAACTACAATTATGTACCAGTCATGTTTATCCATTTGCATATTATATCTCAGTCTCTATTCATAGTTAAATCATGTTATTATTGTTTGAGCTGAGTAGTATGAGATTGTGAGCCCTTAAGATTTGAGAGATTGATGACTGAGTTGGGCCTAAGAGTCAAGTTAAGAGTGTTATTGTGGATTGGGCTACACGTTGCAGCAAGTTTTAGGCCTAGTGTGCCCCCTTGGGTTCACCTGTTCTGTTTGTGAAAAAGAATGATGGTATTATGCAGATGTGCATTGATTGCAGTTGCACAAAGTTACAATTAAGAACAAGTACTCTTTATCGTGCATTGATGACTTATTTGACCAGCTTCAGGGTGCTAGAGTGTTCTCTAAGATTGATTTAGAGAACCACCAGTTGAAGATTCAGGATTCTGATATCCTGAAGACGGCATTCAGGACCCGTTGTGGTCACTATGAGTTCCTTGTGATGTCTTTTGGGCTGACAAATGCCCCAACATCATTTATGCATATGATGAATAGTGTGTTCCAGCCATATCTTGATTCTTTTGTATAGTATTCATTGATGATATACTGGTGTACTCATGTAGAATGAAGGAGCATGTGCAACATCTGAGGGTTGTACTACCGACATTGAGAGAGAAGAAGCTTTATGCCAAATTTTCCAAATGTGAGTTCTAGATTAATTCTGTGGCATTCTTGGGGCATGTGTGTCCAGTGAGGGTATCAAGGTAGATCTGAAGAAGATTGAGGCGCTTTAGAGTTGGACCAGAACGTCTTTTGCTACTAAGATTCAGAGTTTTCTTGGTTTGACCAGATATTATCATCATTTCGTTGAGGGTTTCTCATCCATTGTTGCACCTTTGACTAGATTCACCCAAAAGGGTGCTCTATTAAAGTGGTCTGATGAATGTGAGGAGAGCTTCCAGAAGCTCAAGACTATCTTGACCACAGTTCCAGTTCTAGTTTAGCCTTCAACATCGGGTTCATATACGATGTATTGTGATGCTTCTCGAATTGGTATTGGGTGTGTCTTGATGCAGGAGGGTAGGGTGATTGCTTATGCTTCACACTAGTTGAAGCTCCATGAGAAGAACTACCTCGTTCATGATTTAGAGTTGGTAGCCATTGTTCATGCATTGAAGATTTGGAGGCATTATTTCCATTTTTATCATCTCGGGAAGGCCAACGTGGTGGGCGATGCCTTGAGTAGAAAGGTTGTGAGTATGGGTAGCCTTGCATATATTCCAATTGGTGAGAGACCGCTAACATCGGATGTTCAGGCCTTGGCCAATTAGTTCGTGAGGTTAGATGTTTTGGATCCTAGTAGGATTTTAGCTTACGTGATTTCTCGATCTTCTTTATATGAGCGCATCAGAGAGCGTCATCATGATGACCCCCAATTTTTTTGTCCTTAAGGACACAATACAACACGATAATTCCAAGGAGGTTTCTATTGGATATGATGGGGTGTTGCGGATGCAGGGTCGAATTTATATGTCCAATGTGGATAGGTTACGTGAGTTGATTCTTGAGGAGGCCCGCAATTCATGGTATTCTATTCATTCGGGTGTCGTGAAGATGTACTAGGACTTTAGGAAGCACTATTGGTTGAGAAGGATGAATAAAGATATAGTGGAGTATGTGGTTCGATGTTTGAACTGTCAATAGGTGAAGTACGAGCATCAGAGGCCTAGCGCTTTGCTTCAAAGACTTGAGATTCTTTAGTGAAAATGGGAGCGGGTTACTATGGACTTCGTCGTTGGTCTCCCACGGACTTTGAAGAAATTTGATGTTATTTGGGTGATTTTAGACCGGTTGATTGAGTCCACACATTTCATTCCAGTTGTGACTACCTATTCTTTGGAGCGACTGGCTGAGATCTATATCTGCGAGATTGTTCATCTTCGCGGTGTGCCGGTGTCTATTATTTCTAATTAGGGCATACAATTCACATTGTAGTTTTGGAGGGTAGTGCAGCGAGAGTTGGGCACACGAGTTGAGTTGAGTACAACATTCCACCCTCAGACGGATGGACAGTTCGAGCACACCATTCAAATATCGGAGGATATGCTATGTGCTTGTGATATGGATTTCGGGGATTCTTGGGATTAGTTTCTACCACTTACAGAGTTTTCCTACAACAATAGCTACCAATCAAGTATTCAGATGGCTCCTTATGAGGCCTTATATGGGAGGTGGTGTCGATCTCTAGTTGGGTGGTTTAAGCCGGGGGAGGCTAGGTTGTTGGGCACAGATCTGGTTCAGGATGCCTTGGAAAAGGTCAAGTTGATTCAGGATCGGCTTCGCATGGAACAGTCTAGGAAAAAGAGCTACACTGATTGGAAGGTTCGTGATATTGCCTATATGGTGGGAGAGAAGGTATTGCTTAGAGTTTTACCCATGAAGGATGTTTTGAGGTTCGTGAAAAAGGGAAAATTTAGCCCTCGGTATATTGGTCCTTTTGAGGTACTTGAGAGGATTGGACAGGTGTCCTACAAGCTTGCATTACCACCTAGTCTATCAGGTGTTCACCCAGTGTTTTATATTTCTATGTCCCAGAAGTATTATGGTGATCTGTCTCATGTTTTGGACTTTAGCACGGTTTAGTTAGATGGAGATTAGACTTATGATGTGGAGTCGATGGCTATTTTGGATCGGCACGTTCGAAAGTTGAGATCAAAGAATATAACTTTAGTGAAAGTTCAGTGGATAAGTCAGCCAGTCGAGAAGGATACTTGGGAGACCGGGCGGGATATTTGGAGCAGCTAGCTACACCTATTTGAGACTCTAAATATGATTCTAGACTCGTTCGAGGATGAACGTTTGTTTAAGAGGGGGAGAATGTAATGATCCAGCCGGTCGTTTTGAGTATTGTAGCCTCATTCTGATAAGTAGGGATTTAAACCTATTATTTGCTCTCTTTTACTTGTGTTTTAGACCAAAAATGCTTGAAGGTATTCCCGGAAACTAATGAAATATTCTTACTTGCAGGAATTGTTCAAAATGAGCCAAAGAAACCTTAATCAACTCGCAAAGGAGTCAAAAGTTGAATAAAAACCAAGGCTAGGAAAAGAGTTCTGAAGCGCAGACCTCATAAATATTGTGCAGCCGTGAAAGCCATAATGCGACCGCGAGCATAATTACACGGTCCGCAGAAAGAAGATTCAGAGAGTGTGATATTTGGGCTAAAAGATGAGCACCGACCGCATCAGAAGTGTGCGGCTGCGAAAGTCCCTATGTGGCCGCGATCGAAATTATGTAGTCCGCGGAAGCTTAGATCAACCCAGATCCAAAATTAAAGAACGCTGACTGCACTTAGAATTGTACGGCCAAGATAGCAAGATGCGACCGCACTCAGAATTATGCAGCCGCACAACCTCCGCAGGGGTATTTTTATCAGATTTTCAGCTTAGTATAAATAGATCTTTTTGACATTTTTAGGTTATGTAATGTATTAGAGGAGCACCTAAGACGGCTGAGTTTTCTATTTTGAGAAGTTTTGTACTAGATTCATCTTTTAACATTAGATTTTCATCCTTTAATCTAGTATTATGAATTTTATCTTCATTTCATCTTTAATTTCTGTTATTTTTCATGAGTAGCTAAACCCATAACTAGAGTTGTGACCCAACCCTAGTGTGGGTATTTGATTTTAGGGATTGAATGTGAATGGGTTAGTGATATTACCCTAGTTCTTGCTAGAACTATAGAATTAATGGTTGCAAACATTGATTCATGCCTTTATGACTTAGTCTCTACTTGAGAAAGAGAGACTAAGTCTAGGAAAACTAGGATAATAAGGAATTGGGGTGAACTCAAGAAATTGATAGCCCCAATTAAAGGGTTAAACCTAGAGATAGTAATACCCGACTTGAGCTAAATCACTTAAATTGCATGAATACCCATTTAGACTTGAGAAAGCCAAATTGGGCAAAATTACTCAAACTATCGAGAGGTATAAAGTGAGTACTCGGGTGTAATAGCTATATTACGACCCCAACTAATCATGCTTGCCCTAGATTCTTGCTACCCGTTGGATATCCACCTAGGTAGAAGTCACTACCCTAGTCTTTTTAAACACTTGAAAAACAATAACAAAAATATTGTCCTTAGTTTCAATCATTGTAATCTTTAGAGTAAAGTTAGAAGTAGAAATCAAATCCAACCTTGTGGAAGTGAAATTAGACTCAAAGCCCGTATCTAGCTTAGCATAATTCCAATTATTAACTCCCTATGGATTTGATCCCGACCTAGTTGGGTTAAAACTACATCGACCACCCTCGCTACTCAATAGTAGTGTAGACCTGGACCCGATCAATTTTTGGCACCGTTGGCATGACAAAATCCCTTAAGAGTCCGCGGTCACGCCCAAAATTTTACGGACTGCACAAATTGTACGGCCGCAGCCATTTTTTGCGGACTGGGTTATTGAATCTGATGTTGAGCTATAAAAAGTAAAGAGTGCGGACCGCACCAAAATTGTGCGGCCACACTCAGACAACGGTGTGTTCATGTGGTCGAGCTGATACTTCCAAAGGGAGGGCAGAACTCTCCCGAGGCCGGGGTCGAGGCAAACCCAACATTCCACTGTTAGTCTAAAAGATCATCAGCAAAAAACGACTGCCAATAGAGCCTCGACACTTCTAAGACCGGTGAATATGTCCCCTCTGGGGAAGCTTCTAAAGGAAACTCCATGCAAGCACAGCCAGAAGTCCAATCCCACCAAATCCCCAAACAATTCCCGAGGAGATTTCATTTGGTTGATGAGTCCTCCTCCTCTGTGGGTTCATCTAAGGGTAGTGAAGATTTTGAACCCTCTTCCTCACATGCTCCCACAACTCTAATAAACATAGAATATGATGATAAGGTCCCGGATGATGGGAGATGGGGTGACATAATTGTGGGAGGTATGGCTAGATTATGGAAGCCGAAGGAGTGGGTTGATAGGTTTCTCAGTGAGAAGGCGTATGCCAAGTTCCAGGAATGTGGCCCCAATGGCCGCTCTCTCTTGAGCGATAGTTCATAACCAAAGACTTAAGCCAGCACAATCCAAATGTCCTAAAGCACTTCACGAGGAGAAAAGGATGGAAATGGTTCACCGACCTTGTACTATATGCTAATGAATACCTCGTCAAGGAATTTTATGCCAATGTTGCCCACATCAAAAAGGGTACAAAAGTGACGAATGTCCGGAACTTGAAAATCAGGTTTGATGAACAAGTACTACACAGATACGTAAGGTTTGAGGAGGTTGAAGCTAGGCAATACTTGGAGAAGCTAGCCTTGGGTGAGGCAGTTCGCCCATGGCTAGCTGAGATACTTGCTATTCTGGGGACAACACCTGTATGGCTCACACCAGGAGTGCCAATTGTCAGAGCCACCCTTAACTTTGAAGCAAAAGGGTGGCAAACACTCGTGTGCAACCGTCTTGATCCTTGCTAGCATGAAAATGTCCTTCCAATTTCCCGAGCAGTATTGGTAGCTTCCATCATGACGGGATATACTATTAATATAGGGAACTTGATGTCCTAAAATATCTCCAATGCAGTCCAGAAAGAAGAAAGATCTTATCCCTACCCCAACTTCCTCACTGCATATTTCAAAGATCAAGGGGTAGAGCAAAGACATTTTGATGTGGAGGTGAAGGCTAAAACGCCTTTCTCATGGTATCACCTCCAGGGAGAAGACAACCCTAAATTCAAGGGTAAAGCCACTACCTCTACTGGATAGTCTGAAAAGCCAGGGGTAGTGGCCACTGGATCAGTTGTAAAGCCCTTCACACCAATCGGTACTTCTATCGGAGCAACAACCATGCCTCCTCCATCTTCCTGACCATCTATCTTAGTGTCACTGCTAGTGCCTTCATCTTCTACCTATCCTCAGACTATACTGAGGGTTTCCCAGACACTATCCACTCTCAACAACTGGATGCAGATAGCTACCATAAAGCTGACTGTCATATCCAGTGCAGTGGTAGCAAAGCCTCCATCCCCAGCAGCATTTTAGGTACCTTCATTAGTGGAGGACTCATTGAAGATGATTTTGGACAACCAGAAGAAAATTCGGGATGACCAAAAGAAGATCCTGGAGACTCTTGATACACATGGAAAGGTCATTGCAGACCTGACCAAACAGGTTAGGAAGATGAAGAAGTCTCAGGCCTCAAAGAAGTCCGTGGAGAAGTTGGCTAAGGAGGTTGAGAAGATTGCATATGCAGGGGACTTGCCAATGGACCTTCTCATGTAGGAGACAGTCCCAGCAGCACATGCAGCAGAGCCTGAGGCACCAGGGGCAGCAGCCGGCCAGTCTGAGGAGCCAACTACAACATCACACACTATTGAGGAGCTGATTCAGATGCTCAGCAACCCCGTAGTCCCCCAGTCAGAGGATGTGGAGATCCAATTAGAAGATACGGAGGGTGCTGATGTTGAGGACCCAATGCAGACAGAGACCACATAGGGAGTTCTCTTTACTCTCTATCCTTTTTCCCTATTCTTATTTGTTATTAGCATTGAGGACAATGCTATCTTTCATTTGGGGGTGGTTCATTTTGATTTGATGACATTTGGTATGTAATAACCATTACACTATTTTTCTTTATCTTTATTTATGTGTATTTTCACTTTTGGTATGTATATATTCTTTATTTTCACTTTTGGTATGTATATATTTTTACCATTTGATGTATATATTTATTTTCATTTATGTATATATTCTCTTTACCTCAAGTTTGTATATATTCAGTTTAATTTTCATAGTTTACTTCATAACTGCTTTCGTTATTTTCCCTTAGTAGCATACCTTCTTATTTACTTTAGTAGCTTTTTTTTATTTGTTAGCTTGTTTTTAAGTTTTGTGTTGACAATAAGCCTTTGGTTTTCTTAATGCCATGGTTCTTTCCAAATGTATATGTTGTGTAGACCAGGTGGCTCTTCCCAACGATGGATAGCGTGACAAGCTTCTTAAGGGATTGAATCTAATTTCTTTATGTTTTGGTATATATATATAGTAGTAATGAATAAAAGTGTCTCAAGCAGGCTTCACTTGGTACTAACACATTTACCTTCGACCTTATGGTAAAAAACAAGTTGATTGGCAAAGAATAGCTCTAGTTGTGACCTTTAGACTCTTGAGTTGGCTAAAACAAACATCGAGTGGCTTCCTTGAGCCATTTGTGATTTTCAATCTTAGCTAGGGTTGTTGTGGGCCCTCGACTATGTTCTCTTTAACAATCCAAAAGCTTGAGAGGTGAGGTATTGAATTGAAAGTCCAAGTTCCGTGCCAATAAGTCTAGAACTTGCCCTGAATGTTTGTCTAGGCAAAATTCTAAGTGTAGCTCAACTTGAAAAATGATTGTAAGCTCTCCTTGATCCAATTTGAAACTTGAATGCTTCTATATCCTACCAATGTGATATCCCTAGTCAACCCCTTTGAGCCTAAGCCTTTTTCATTCAATAGCCACATTACAAGCCTTTATCCGTTTTATGATGACCCTCTCTTGGCACCCGATCTTTCCTTGGCATTCTTGATAGACAATTGGCAAAAGCATAAGTTTGGAGGAGAGACGAGGAATGTGAAAGTGATAAAAGGTACAAAGAATAAAAAGAAATGAAGAAAAGGGAAGGCAAAGAAAAGGAAGAAAGGCCAAAAAGAAATATGTCAAAAAGAAAATGAATAAGATAGAAAGATGAAGGGATTCAAAGAAAGCAATAATGAAAGGCATGGAATGATCATAAAAGGAGAAAATTGATTGTCACGAGCAAGAAAGAGTGATAGTGTGTGTCTCTAGTTCCCCTAAGGAAGAAGAAAATGACTCAAAGAGTTAAGAAAGTATGAGCTGAAATAAAAAAAATGGAGTGCTTAAGGAAAGATGAAACCATCATATGCCGATAAGTCCTACCTTGATCCAAAAGCCTTCATTATATTCCCACAAAACCCCTATATGATTTCGAGTTGAGTGAGCTTATATTAGTGATGATTTACATAAGGGGCAAGCTTATGGTACTTAGAGTCGGACTTGTGACATTCTTTTGAGAGAGATGAGCGTACTTCTTCACAATCCTTGTTTTGAGTGTTATATTCTAAAGTGAGATTGGCTCATGGAACGCAGAGGAGGAGGAGTTTGGGTTCCATAATGACCTACGTGATAGAGAGAGCTTCCTTGATGAATTAAGTTAACTCTAGATGCTCTAGTGTCACAATAGAACTATGATACTCAAAAGGTCATAACATAGTGTTGTTAATAATTCATTTGTGTTGAGGGTAATTGTTAGTCCCAATTGATGCATGATTGATTCACTGTAGGCCAGCTAAAATATCCTTTTGTTCTAGTGGAGGTGGGAATTGCCTTATTTGCTTGAGGACAAGCAAAAGCTTAAGTTTGGAGGAGTTGATAAGCAGGGATTTTAACCTATTAATTGCCCTCTTTTACTTGTATTTTAGGCCAAAAATGCTTGAAGGTATTCCCGGAAACTAAGGAAATATGCTTACTTGCAGGAATTGTTCAAAATGAGCCAAAGGAACCTTAATCAACTCATAAAGGAGTCAAAAGTTGAACAAAAACCAAGGCTGGGAAAAGAGTTCTGAAGCGTGGACCACATAAATATTGTGCGGCCGCAAGCATAATTAGCGATCCGCATAAGGGAGATTCAGAGAGTCTGATTTTTGGGCTAAAAGATGAGCGTGGACCACACTAGAAATGTGCAGCCGCGAAAGTCCATGTGCGGCTACAATTGAAATTATGCGGATCGTGATGACTGAGGTTCAGTTGAGATTGAAATTACGCAGATCGTGATGACTGAGGTTCAGAGAGCTTACAATTTGAGCAAAAGTGAGAAGTACGGTCTGCGTCAGAATTGTGCGGCCATGGAAGTCCCTTGTGCGGCTGCTATCGAAATTATGCGGTCCGCGACCGCTTAGCTCAACCCAGATCCAAAATTGAAGAATGCGGACTGCAATCAGAATTGTTCGGTCGCGAAAGCAAGAGTGCGGCCGCACTCAGAATTATGCAGCCACACAACCTCCGCAGGGGTATTTTTGTCAGATATTTTTAGCTTAGTATAAATAGATCTTTTTGACATTTTTAGGTTATGTAATGTATTAGAGGAGCACTGAGATGGTTGAGTTTTCTGTTTTGGAAAATTTTGTACTAGATTCATCTTTTAACATTAGATTTTCATCCTTTAATCTAGTATTATGAATTTTATCTTCATTTAATCTTTAATTTCTGTTATTTCCATAAGTAGCTAAACCGATAGCTAGTGTTGTGACCCAACCCTAGTGTTGTATTTGATGGTAGGGCTTGAATGTGAATGGGTTAGTGATATTTAGCCTAGTTCTTGCTAGAACTATAGAATTAATAGTTGCAAACATTGATTCATGCCATTATGACTTAGTCTCTACTTGAGAAGGAGGGACTAAGTCTAGGAAAATTAGGCTAACAATGAATTGGGGTGAACTCAAAAACTTGATAGCCCCAATTAAAAGGTTAAACTTAGAGATAGTAATCCCAACTTGAGCTAAAATCACTTGAATTGCATGAATATCCATTTGGACATGAGAAAGCCAAATTGGGCTACCGAGAGGTATAGAGTGAGTACCCGGGTGTGATAGCTATATTATAACCCCAACTAATCAAGTTTGCCCTAGATTCTTTCTACTCGTTGGATATCCACCTAGGTAGAAGTCACTACCCTAGTCTCTTTAAACACTTGAAAAACAACAACAAAAATATTGTCTTTAGTTTCAACCATTGCAATCTTTAGAGTAAAGTTAGAAGTAGAAATCAAACCCAACCTTGTGGAAGTGTAATTAGACTCAAAGCTCGTATCTAGCTTAGATATAAACCTAATTCCAATTATTAACTCCCTATGGATTTGATCCCGACCTAGTTGGGTTAAAACTACATCGACCACCCTCGCTAATCAATAGTAGTGTAGGCCTAGACCCCATCACATTCCCTCATTCATTGCTTATTTTATGTTCAATTATGTTTATGTGCTTTCCAGGATGGTTGAATTGGTTTCGGGGATAGGGTACTTGTTCTTCACGGTGATTTTATTTAAGGTCTGATAATCCACATAAAGTCATAAGGTGCCATCCTGTTTCTTTTGGAATAGCACAGGGGACCCACAAGGGGACTTTGAGGGAACAATGATCCCCGTGTCCAGCATTTCTGTCAACTGTCTCCAAAGCTTGGTGATTTCGGGTTATGATATTTTGTAAGGCGCCTGGGCAGGTGGCTTTGCACCCGACACCAACTCAATCTCATGGTTCACAGTGCGCCTAGGCAGGAGTCGCTTTGGCATGTCATGTTGAATGATGTCTTCAAACTCCTTTAGCAGCTTCTTCACAGGTGCATGAATGGGACCTGAAGAGCGTTCAATATCTTCAATGCATAGGGTAGCCAGGAATGTAAGTTCATGTCTTTTGACTCCCTTCTTCAACTGCAAGGCCGAGATGTTCTCCAACCATTTTTATGGTTGTGCATGGGATAATATAGGGCTTGGCCCCATTTGCTCCCATCATTTGTAGCATGTCTGCATAAGGTACAGGAATGGTGTTGGTTTGCCTCATAAATTCCAATCCAACTATCAGCTCGAAGTCATCTATGATCACCATACGCAAGTTGAATTTTCCTTCATAAGGACCAAGCTTCACTGGCACCCCTTTGGTTATTCCACCCACTGACTGAGGTGGTGAGTTGATAGCCTTGACACGACCTTTGCCCTTTCCCACAACTAGACCAAGGCGCTCTACCTAAGTTGAGGCTAAGTAGTTGTGAGTAGCACCCATGTCTATCATCGCCCGAATGGGCTTTCCATTAACTTCATTTCGACAAAAATTAGGGTCTTCTCTAGGTTAAGAGGAGGCCCCTTATCTGCAAAGGCTACCATTGCTAGGCTGGTCCCCTTTGTATCCTCCTCTGGGTTTCCACTTGGTAGTCCCCAAGGAATTCCGCTGCTTGTATCGCCTTAGGTAAAGTGTCTACCCTTTGTCTTTGCAGC